GTCCTCGCATATCGCCTACCATGTAATTCCCTGCGCCGTGGTGGGTCTGCCCGTTCTGTATGTGTTCCTGGCCACCCGATACCCGGAGCCGCCGCAGCAGCTGATCCGCTGGCAGCGCGAGGAGGAGGCCGAGCGCTCCCTGAGGTTCTATCGGCGGTGCGATGGACCCGGTGTGTCCAAGGAGGAGGAGCGCGCCTACCAGAAGCAGTTCGACGAGATGCGCCTGGCCATCCAACAGCAGAACAAGGACTCCGACGACAAGGGACTCGCCTTCTCCGATTTCCGTAAGATATACATAGCTGATTCAAAGACAGCTGATATGATATACCGATTCCCCTTGCAGTCACCAAGCGCTCCCTGAAGGCCCTGGCCACCGGATTGGTCCTGATGATAGCCAACATCTTCACGGGCACCTTCGCCTTCAACAACTACATGTCCAACATCTTCGATGCCGTGCACACCCAGCTGGATCCCAATACGAACACCATTATCATTGGGGCCGTTCAGATCCTGGGCACCTTGGCCAGCATCTACCTGGTGGATCGCTATGGCCGCCGCATCCTGCTGATTGTATCCTGTGCGGGCAGTGGCATCGGCACTTCGGCCTTCGGGCTGTACGCCTTCTATGCGGAGGAGCAGAAGGTGGACCTGTCGGCCTTCTCCGCCTGGCTGCCCGTCACCCTGATGGCCTTCATCATCTTCATAGCCAACGTGGGAGTGATATCGGTGACCATGGTGGTGCTGGTGGAGATCCTGCCGCAGAGGATCAGGGCAGTGGCCACCAGCTTCTGCCTGGGCTGCCTCAGCTTCTTTGCCTTCACCTCGCTGAAGACCTTCCCGCTGATGATGTTCCATTTGGGGCTGGCGGCCACCATGTGGTTCTGCGGCGCCGTCAGCGTCATTTGCCTCTTCTACGTGGTCGTCTGCCTGGAGGAGACCAAGGGTCGCTCCATGTATGACTAATCTCGCCTGGTGCCTAGAGAATAAAGTTCACATTGTTAGTAGTACCCATGTTGTTTGTGGTTTTCTTGGGGGAGGGGCAGGCATTAAACCAAAACAAAGCGCCCGCCGGGCGAACAGAAGCCCCAATAAAAAAAAGAAGCGGAGCAGACAGGACTTGATTTATGACCCAACAACTAGCCACCTGTCATAAGCTAATGTCGTGCAAACAATTAGCTTTGTTGGCGTTTTTATTCACCAGCACTCACCCTAATCTCCACCAGCTTCTGCTCTTTTAGACAAAGGAAATCCACATGAAGAGAAAACAATACCCTTGGAGTGGGAAAAATGAAGCGTAATTGCTTCTGAATTCTTTTTACAGAAGTTTGTAAAGCTATGTTTTATTTAGGTATTTAAATTTGATTTAATCCCTCACACAAGAATGCTCCGGGTTCCTTGCAAGTGAAATCAAGTTTAATCTCTGCTTGAAAATGCTAATCTCACTTGATTCCACTAAGCATATTCTACTTCATTCTCAACTATTGTAGTGGAATTTTCTTGGAAAACTTACAGTTGCTTTTTATACCCGTTACTCGTAGAGTAAAAGGGTATACTAGATTCGTGCAAAAGTATGTAACAGGTAGAAGGAAGCGTTTCCGACCCTATAAACTATATATATTCTTGATCAGGATCACTAGCCGAGTCGATCTAGCCATGTCCGTCTGTCCGTCTGTCTGTCCGTCTGTCTGTCTGTCTGTCTGTCTGTCTGTCTGTCTGTATGAACGCTGAGATCTCGGAAACTATAAAAGCTAGAAGATTGACATTTTGCATGCAGATTCTAGGAGTTCCTACGCAGCGCAAGTTTGTTTCAAAAGGGTGCCACGCCCCCTCTAACGCCCACAATCGCTTATATACGATTTTAAAAATTTCAATATTTTGGAAAAGTAAAAATGCAGTTTTATTGTGTTTATCAATACCTATCGAAATGTAAAAGAAATTTTTTTAATCGGACCATTCGTTAAAAAGTTACGGCGGATCAAAGTTTTTCTCCATCTCTTTCGCACTCCCTTTAGCTGAGTAACGGGTATCTGATAGTCGGGGCATTCGACTATAGCGTTCTCTCTTGTTCAATTAGCGGAGTACCCGGCTTGCCAGAGTTAAAATGGTTTTGCAGTGAACTAATTGAAAAGGATTTGCAGTGAAATGCTAAGGAAAACAAATTAAATATTTCTCGGAAAACTCAAGGGGGATAATACCAATTTAAGCTGCGATTCCTAAATCAGGTTAGAATCTTATAAATTGTTAAATTAAATGCAGTCGGTCTAAACTTCAAACTACCTTCAAAATTCGAGTGTTCTTGGAATAGGTCGTTGGTTATAATAGCGGGGCTAATAAATAAATAGGCATCTTGCTGACTCACCACGATTACGACTGCGATAGCGATACGATAGGATCACTGATAGGCGTGGCTGAAAATGGAGTGACGGTTTACGCATTATGCAAGGATGGGATCGATTCCCTCTGCCTGTGTATTTCGTTATTTATCAAAAATTGCTATTATTTTCTGCTTAAATCGATCAAGACAATCGATAAACAATCTATTTTTACTCATCGATTAACCTTTATCAGCGACATTGGCTTTCTTATCGATAAATCACAGTGCTGTTGAATTTTACTCGAGAGTTGTTCTTTGATTAAATTAAATAATTTTAAAATTAATCGTCTATGTGTTTGAGGGTATTTTAATTTTGGTAGGAAGCTTGGGAAGAAGACGATTTCCAGCTTATTAAGTGCAAATGTATGATCTTGATCAGTATCACTAGATGAGTCGATAATATCGAGTCGTTATACAAGTCGTTACAATTTTTACTTCGTACTTTTTAATTTTTTTATATTTGGGTAATGGTATCTGGCAAGGGTATTAAAACTTCGATTTCAGCTTATTGATGTTTATAAATTTACATGTATTTTTTTTTTCTTGTAATTGATAAGAATATGAAGGCACGTGCCCGTTTAACTATCATATGAAAATATCAAGCTCTGTTTTCGCTGTCGGTAAACAACTGATTTCAAGTGCAGTCAACGATTTTAAGTAGTATTCTTTCTTTTAGGGCTTCTATTATTTTCACAAGTTCTCAACTTTAAAAAAAAACAAAAAAGTGGCAGTGGCCAACACAAATATTTGTTCAATTATTCCGCGACGTGGGAGGGATCAACCTGAATAATTAGTTTGGCTTCGCTTTGCTCGAGGTATGAATATTTTGCTTTTCTGTCCTGGAATGCCGAATCTACAGCAACAACCGCAAATTAATAGCGTTCCTAATTTGAATTTGAACCATTTCCCCACCTACGTATTTTCCTCGGTATTTACGCTGGTATTAAATGACATAATTTGTGTGCGCATTTCAGAATTGATGTAACGCTTTGAGGGTGTCAGAATGGTAGGGGGTCCTTTTTATTGTGACTTTTGTATTCCGTATCCCATGTGGCATCAGGAATCGATTAATTAAAGTGAAATTCAGAGCACACGACTTTGTTGGATGGTTTACTGCATTTAAGGATACTGGCCATGCCACAGAAATGGGCAGAATTTCGTTCATTTTTAGAGTCAGTACAATGGCGACGTTACACTATTGTGAACGGCAGTCCACGTAGTGACAAATAATTCGATCGAATGGTATTATTATTAATATTTTAATACCAAGTCGATTGGTTTAGGAAAAATCAATCATTAATAACACTGTGCAGCATTTTTATTGCTTTTTAAATTTACCTCGATGGATGCTATATTTTTGGATTCGTTACGAATTCCCAAGATAAACTGCGTTTTCCAAAAAGTTCCCCGACGCAAGGATTCTTAGCAAAAGGACCTCAAAGTTCGAAAAATGCTGAAATTGGCCAACTATGCGGAGCTCTCAGAGGCAAATGGATGCATGGTTTGATTCGATGTTAAAGTTTTTTTAAAGATACACCCTTTATCTTTTATACCCCATACTTAAAAAATTTTTAAGATTTTTTTTAAGGCAGAAACAAATTCTAGAAAACATAGTCAAAAAACATAAAAGTATACAGCTGCGGTCAAAATGGTAGTAGTGTTGCCGCCCTGTGTATTTAAAAGTTTGTTGTTGTAATCAGAGCTCGTAAAAAACGGTCAACCGAATTTTTCTAATCGGGCTGCTCAGTTGAAAGACCCAAAAATTGAGAATGTCTAGCTCAGGGTCTGAGCAACAACCCTTTTTTCGTTTCGGTCTCGGTCTCGGTTTCGGTCTCGGTCTCGGGTTTCGGTTGACAACAAGCACAATGAGACCTTTTTTTACGAGCTCTGGTTGTAATTGATCTTTTCCTGGTAATATTGTATTGATTATAATTTTACTATTAGACTAATTGGATAAGAAAAAATTACAACATGAAACTTTTAAAAACACAAGGCGGCAACACTGCTACTATTTTGATCGCAGCTGTATGTTTTTCAGTTGTTTTTTGGAATTAATTTCTGCCTTAAAAAAATCCTAAAATTATTTTATGTATGGGGTTTGAAAGATAAAGGGTGTATCTTTTAAAAAACTTTAACTTCGAACCAAGCCAAGCATCCATTTGTCTCTTAGAGCTCCGCAAAGTTGGTCAATTTCAGCATTTTTCAAAACTTTGAGGTCCTTTTGCTAAGAATCCTTGCGTCGGGGAACTCTTTGGAAAACGCAGTTTATCTTGGGAATTCGTAACGAATCCAAAAATATAGCATTCATCGAGGTTTATTTTTGATGCTGCATAGTGTAATTAATTAATGTCACAAAAAGTGATATCAGAAGTTTTGTATGCTAAAGGTGCGATCGTTACTAGTTTTTACCTCGACAAGGGATTTTTAAATGAATTGAAACGAAATCCCAAATTCTTGTTGGATACATATTTATTTTTTTTGCAATTTTCGTTTTGATTTAAAAAATATATTTCATTTTTGCTGTGTTGTATTGTCTCCTTTATTATTTATGTTTAAACTTTTAACTGGTTGCTTTAACATTTTATTCCGTAACGAATAATAATATTTCGTTGTTTTCTTTTTTAAGTAAACACACTGAAATATGTGGAAACCTGGCCATCAGAATGCATCAACCGAACCATATTCAAAATAGGATAGTGTTGATTTTATGGCTGATGGTAGCACGGGAAGCCCTTGGCCAGCGTTCTTGGGAAAACAGCACCACACCTGCCCATCCAACAACGATATCTCTGGGCCAGAGTGGGGATGTGGACGCAGCGACTGCGCAGATGGAGGTGCATCGGTATGTTACCAGTTTGCCAGGCACAAAAGCCCTGGAGCCTGTCACCAGGATGCGCCTAAATGTGAGTACACTGAAAAAGCATTTTTTAACAATGTAGATAATGTCTACAATTAAAAAAAAAATTTTTAATAAATATTAAACGCTTTTATGTAGTTAACTAGTTAAAACAAGTTAATACATGTTTAAAGTAAACTAAAAAATGTTTAAAAATTAAAAAAAAATCGTTTTATTGTACTAGGAAAATACACTTTAAAATGTTTAATTTTGAAAATGTTTTTTTTTAATTTTTTAAGTGAGTTGTTTTTTATTGTGTGTAACGCCTGTGGAGTTTTTTTTCCAAATTATTTGAATTTTACAGCCTACGCCTGAAGGAGAAATCACAGAGCTAAGCACAAATGTAACGCTCTATATGGAGAAAATCCCACGACTACAGGTGCGATGGCAGGACAATCTGCCGGACGGTAAGTGTTTTATCTTTTTATTTCCGGTAAATAGGCCCCTAGGCCCCCTTACAAAATTGTCTGCCTCAATGGCCCAGCAAGGGAATCGAAACACGAAACAAATTCCCCTAATTACAGAGCATTGTTTTCTGTTTTCGCCCCATTGCAGGCACTTCCTACAACGTCCTCGTCAGTGCAGTCAACAATAGCCGTTGTCCCGATGCTCCGTGCAGTGAATACGGAATCAAGCAGAGGAAGACCGGTTCCGAGTCCCACTTTGTATACCTGCCAGTAAATCCCAACATGAACGTGGAGTCCGTGGATTGCAACTACATGTTTGGGTGCCAGTACCAGGTCATTGTGGAGACATCCAACGCGATGGTCAGGCGATCGGCCCGCGTCTACATTCCTCGTAGGTTCATGCGAAGAATTCAAAAAGAAGATAAGAAATTCGAGCTTAAAATATACCCTGATAAAAACGTAGTAAATCCTAAAATATCATATATTTAATAATATTTTTCACTGTGTTTTTCTCTTGAGATCTTTATTAATTGCAAATATGAAACTATAATGTTTACCATGTTTAAATTATATTTATGTTTAAATTAGAGTACATTTAAAACTTTTTTTATGACGTAAAATATCTTTAATATGTATAATTAAAATTCTATAAATTATTTTCTACCTTGATTAAAATATTTACATAAAAAAAATAATTCAATTGACAATATTTTTTAACGTGTATCTTCATTTCGTTTCCCTTTAAATAACAATAGAGTGTCTGGAGGGCAAGTGCTCCTGCAAATTGGCGCCCACGCCGCCAAAGGTCCTGGCCGTGGGCAAGATGCTCAGTAACGAGACCATCAGCATTAATATCTCGATCCTGGCCAGCGAACTGTTGCGCAAGGAGCAGGACTCGCGTCTGCACGAAACATTAAGGACCTACAAAATGCAATTGAAGTGAGTACTCTCAGCGGGAAATCACTTGTGAGAAACTCATGAAAACGCAATTTAATTAAATGTATCGAGCACATTTCAGTCTCGTATTCGTACTTAAATTGTTTTCAATTTAATTATAAACACGGATTATCCTGTATTTAATCATGCCAATTTTATTCAACTTTCATTGAAGATTTTAATTGAAAATTCCAGCTACTTCAATTGAAACATCAAACCAATATTCTCTGAAAATAAAACTAACTGTATGTAATGGCAAACCTCTAAAATTGCAGAATCAACGAGGAGACAAACCCCTCGCTTCCCTGGGGCGGTGTACTGAAGCACCTGATGACCCGCTCCTACAATCTCAGCGAACTGAACTTCAGGCCAACGTCCAAGGGCTTCGAGGGCATCATGCGGCTGGGTCTGGGAACGCAGCTCAAGGAGAAGGCCTCCCTCAGTCTGCAGGCCGTCATCATCGATCCTTCGGGATGCGAGGGGCCACGCAGCGTAACCAAGGTGCCAGGTGAGTTCCATTCGGCGAGTTAATCTCCTCTTTATTTACATTTCCTACTCGAAAAGTGCCCGCCAATCCCGTTCTGCTGAATGAAGGTGACAGTGTGGTAAGCCTGGATAAATATTTTACGGTCTTAATTTCTTATTCCGAATTGTATTCTGCAGAGCAACTCCATCGTTGTGATGAGCGGCATGCTAATTGCCATTATCCTGGCTGGACTGATGATGTTGCTACTGCGACGACGACGGGCCAGGACAACTGCTAAGCTTCGAAAGCAGGAGCAGATCTACATCCAGACCTTTGCCGCCTCCGCCATTGAGTGAGTAGTCACTTGGATACGACTTATCCTAGGTAACCTATTCTTTTTTCAGGATGGAGGACAATGTAAATTATGTGGACAAGTATGTCGAGGTAAGTCCTCTACGTTTGCCTCAATTTAAGCTTTAATCAAATTTTAAAGGCAACCAATTCGTTAATTTACAGAAATGGGCATTTCCGTCAGAAAGTTTAAATTATTTTATATCATTTTGAAATATTTATTTAAATTGAAAACAAGCATTAATTTGAGGCAAAGGAGAAAAAAACAAACTCCGGGAGAAAATATCTCCCCAGCGACATGACCCAAAAGAAAAAGCTAAGAATTAAATTTTTTTTAAATGGCAACAAATTTTGAGTAAAACCAAAATTATTTCACAGCGGTATGATTTGACAACATTTAAATAAATCGCCTTAAAATATTCCATCAGAATTCGATTAAATCAAATTCCGACAAAATCTAGTAATTGGATTGTATTACATGTTTTTTCCTTAATTTTCCTCCACATTTTAAATTGAAGCACTTTATACATTTTGTACTAGAACAAAAACAACATATCACATATTATATTTGACTGCAAGCAATCAATTATGAATTTATGTTGAAAAATGTGTTGTATATGCAGATTGAGTCGAGTATGCAAAAACAACATATTTTGTTATTATTACAGGTATTTGTTATTTCTCAGAGAAACGTATTTAAGTCCAATTAAAATTGATTTCGACAAGGCGGCACTTGAAATATGATTATGCATATAATCCGATATCCACTCAATATGCAAAATTTAGCTAGAAAAGGTCAAGAAGTAAAACCGGTTGTCGAAACCAAAATCATTTGTATTTCCTGAGCGGAATTGCCCATATGCATTTCATCGGTTTACAAACACTTTAAATGAAAGTAACTTAATTATAGATAGATATTTGTAAGCCAATTGTTCTTAATTGCAGTTCAATTACATACTGATTTTGTCACCCAGATTATTGGCTGCCAGTGTTCTTTATAATTAAGTTACAACTCATTTGTAAATATACATTTTAAAGAGATTGACTGCACATTTAAGGATAAACGCGACAAAGAACAATTAAGTTCAATTACATACTGATTTTGTCACCCAGATTATTGGCTGCCAGTGTTATTTTTAATTAAGTTACAACTCATTTGTAAATATACATTTTAAAGAGATTGACTGCACATTTAAGGATAAACGCGACAAAGAACAATTAACCTAGTATCTTTTCTACCTATTTATCATCTATATCTACCTCTCCAGAAGTCGCAAGTCCTGGGACTGGCAGACATATTCGAGGTTCCGCACTCGGCCATCCAAATTGGCCGAATGTTGGGCGAAGGAGCCTTTGGTGAAGTGCACGAGGCCACTGCGATTAACTTGCGCCGCATGAGGGGCACCACCATTGTGGCAGTTAAGCAGCTGAAACGTAGGTTCATACTCCTCAACTGGTAGGATCAAAACGACAGCTTAATTTCCTCTTTCAGCCAATCCAAAGGCGGATGAGGTGGCCGAGTTTCTGGCCGAGATCGAGATGCTCAAGGGAGTGGGCACGCATCACAATGTCGTCTGTTTCCTGGGATGCTGCACCATCAAACCGCCCTACCTGTTGATCACGGAATTTGTAGGGAAGGGAAATTTGGTAATTAATAGTATATAAAATATTCTCTTTTAAAAATAAATACAAAATATATAAATATTTCATTTCATATTTCACAAAATTTTTGTTCCCTCTTCAGCTGAGCTATTTGCGAGCGGTGCGCCAGGAGGCGAGCAAATTAAAGAGCCGGAATGCCAACTACACCACCTGCAAGCCCATTTCATCCAGGTCCAATGGCACTTCATTACCCAAGTCGCCAAGCGTAAACTACATCGAATTAAAGGCGTCCAGCCAGACAATTGATTTGGCCCAAATTCCGGAAAATTCCAGTGCAGACATGAACGTTCCGCGGCAACCGCATCCCTCCTTTGCCGAAAGTAAGCCACTTAAATTACTAATTACAGAAATATTGACAAGGAATTTATAATTTGCAGCCACTTACACCATTGTGGAGGAAGAGGATGCCTTCGAGTACATACTAGACAACAAGGAACTGCACAACTTTGCACTGCAAATTGCAAATGGAATGCGGTTCCTGGAAGAGCAGGAAATAACGCACCGGTATGGGATATAAAATCATACTCTGAGTACGGTATTTAATTTGGCTTTTCCTTTCAAGGGACCTGGCTGCGCGAAATGTCCTAATTGACAGCAACAAAACCCTGAAAATATCCGATTTCGGTCTTTCCCGACACGGAATTTATACGAACACAAGGACGCGAAAGGTGAGTACAGCCGGTTGAGTGGGATGAAGGGTTTATTTTAAGGCTGCAAACTTGAAGCAATCGGTTAAAAATATTTCAGAGATAAATATCTCTTAAAATATATAAAATATTTTCTTTAAAGCTCCCGCTTCGCTGGCTGTCCATCGAGGCCATTCGCGACAATGTCTACTCCAGCAAGAGCGACATCTGGGCCTATGGGGTGGTGCTCTGGGAGATCGGGACTCTGGGGGCCTCTCCATATCCGACGATCAGCAACAGCGAGCTGATCCCGTTCCTGATGGCGGGCAACCGTCTGGAGCGGCCGGAGATCTGCACACCGCAGGTCTACACCATCATGCTGCAATGTTGGCTTGAGGAGCCAGAGGAGCGACCCACCTTCGACGCCCTGTACAGGGTGCTCAGTCCAAAGACCACCTACGTGGACATCAATAGCCTGAGCGATGATTACGTCTTTCCGCCGATTAGCGAGAATAGGGAATAAACCAAGTCCAATAAGTTCACTCTACTTCTAGACGTCCTCCATCGATAATTGTTAAAAGTTTATTGCTGTCCCTAAACGTCTTAATTCGATAATTGTTACAAGTGTATTATGGTATTCGACTATTCCTACTGTACAAATATCTCCGTCTGTGTGTGCATAATGCAGAGTTCAAAATGTGCCGGAACAAAGTTTTCAATTAAGTACAAGCTTAGTTAGTGGTTAGTCAGTAAGCTTTAGAGTGTCGGCTAAGTTAAGGATACCCTTTCATTTTTAGGTAATTAAGATCTGCCGTATACGAACGTAGTTTTTGATGTGCTGTGAGTTTTAAACACTGGAAATATATTGAAATTAATTGTATTTCACATCTAATTGTTAGACTTTACTTAGCGTTCATGCGTTACTTCAAAGTATTAATAAAATTCTATTTAAAAAGTCCTCCTTGTGCTTAATGACGTACGCCATACACATCATTCCAGGCCTCAAACTGCTTGCAGTCTTCGGCGGAAACACTTTTAGATATAACCCTTAAGGCCTGCTGGAAGTCCTTCATGGTGACGGCGGGCAGCTAAAAGGATAAAGGATTACGATAATTAATGGATAAGTAATTATAGTGTAAGTAAAAATAAATTATGAGTGATTCTTTGCGAAACGTATTGAGATTTTCTACATGGTTTCAAAACGATATCTAATTTTTATCACACCACTTGAAAAGGATTAAATCCATTTAACAAAAGCAAAGATATGGCGATGCTATTTTTTTGTTTAATTTATTTATAATTTAAAATTTAAGTGGGGTAAAAAATAAATAAAAATACCCAAAAATCATTATTTTTGCCAAGTTTTCAGAAAAAATAACACCCATAATGGTTTCAGTGCAAAATAAAGTCCAAACTTTAAAAAAAAATATTTCATTCGCGGTTTTCTGCAAATCGGCATTTTTAATCTTTATTAAAAAAATAGTGTAATGTTCTATACATAATTCTTGTTGGCTCCTGAAAGTTTCGTCATGGATACTGGATTACTTTCGCCATATCTTCGATTCTGTCAAACGATTTTTTTTAAATTTTTTTTTAAATTTTTTTTTAAATGGTGTGATATTGTCATACAAATTAGATACAGTTTTGAGACCATAAAGAGAATCTCGGTACAAAGAATCACTCTTATGCGTTTTCATAGAAAATGGTATTCGGGATAAATTCACAGCTATCAAGTAACTTTGATTCTATTTAAGGATCTGCTTACCTGATGCGTTTCGATGACCTCCATTTGGTCGGGTGTCAGCAGGCGAAGGGGAGCCATCGAAGCGTAGCGGCACAGCGTGTCCACATCTGCTCCGGAATAGCCATCCGTGAGCTCAGCCAGCTCGTTTATTTCCGTAGCGTCGAGGCTGTGCTTCACCTGTCGGAGTATCTTTTCCACGATTTTCCGACGCGCCTCCTCCGTTGGCAGCGGCACGTACAAGCGACGCACAAATCTTCGACGCACTGCCTCGTCCAATTCCTGTGGGCGGTTGGTGGCTCCTATGACCAGGATTCGGATTTCCTCGTTACTAGCAGCGCCATCCAAGTGGATCAGAAACTCGTTCTTCAGGCGCAAAGTACTCTCGTTCTCGTTGCCCGAACGCTTTGACAGCAGGGAATCGACCTCGTCAATGAAGATAATCTGAAATGTATTAGCTTACAGATGAGAATAAAAGTTAACAATGTGCTCAGGCCAATTATAGTTATTTAAAGTACGACTTTGTTGAATAAGTCGCCTTAAAGGCCAGCTAAATCTTACAGCGGGTTGATGTGCAGCGGCCACGGCAAACAGTGTCTTAACCAGCTTCTCGGCTTCGCCCACCCACTTGGAGGTCAGAGAGGATGGATTGATACTAAAAAACTTGGCCTTTGCTTGGGAGGCAATGCTCTTGGCTATTAGGGTCTTGCCAGTGCCGGGTGGTCCGAAGAGGAGCACCCCCCGGGGGGGACAACGCACCCCAGTGAACAAGTCCGGCCGCCGGAGTGGCATTATAATGGCTTCTAGGAATGTGGACTTGGCAGATTCCAGTCCGGCAATATCTTCCCAAGCTAAAATAACAACAGTCGTTTATTTATTCTGCACTTGAAGGTTTCGATTTCCATAACCCACCGACTGGTTTGAAATCATGCATGCTTTCTCCGAGAATTTGCTCCACCATCTTGGGATCTAAATGGGCCAGGGCGGTCGGTATGTTTCCTGCGTTGCTGCGTTCAAAAGAATGCAAGGAAATATAAAGAACAAATTCCGCAAATGCAAGGCTTATACTCACGGGCTAGTCGAGTTCCCATTGCTAACCAAGGGCGAAACAAAGTTCGAGCTAACAGTGCGTTTTCCACCCAGAGTTTTTTTCCTGAAGTTCATCATGTCGGATGGGGCTGAACTGGGTGGTTTGCTCGCAGCCTGATGCTTGTTTTTCTGTGAATTTAATAGACAGACAGTAACGAACAGGAACATTTTGTGGTGCCCTTTAATTGGAGTTGCTGAATAAAATTAATTTTTAGGTTTCCCAGGTATTTCTGGGGATTCAATTTTAATTTTGAGGAATAGCTTTAGAAATTAAAGAAAATTTGGATATTTGTTTGGATTTCAGACCCACCTTCAAATCATCCAGGATTAGTTGCTCCCGGGCCGTGCGAAAGCCGTAGCCGCTTTGGGATGGATCCTCCGGTGGTTCCTGCTGCCTATTGATACTGGAAGGAGCTGAATTGGTCCTTGATGGTGGAACAGCCCCTTGTGGTTTGAGAGAGCCTAAGCCGTTCTGGAATGGATCCTCTGGAGGATTGGTAACCCTATGCGAGTTGGTCCCAGATGCCACAAGAGGATGGGATTGTGGATGTGATTTCATTGGAGGAGCTTGCAGGGCACTTTTGGTCATCTCTAATTTTCGGCAGCTCTCGTACGAGGTCCTGCATTCCGGCTCAAAAACTGCATTCCGGGGCATTTCGAACACGTAGCCTGCACGTGTAATCCCCGATTTCGTCCTGCGACTCGTCCTTATTGTTTCCTGGCATCGTTTTATCCGCTCCACCATTGTTTGTTCGGTACATTCGTGTTTTTGCTGCTTGTCCTGATGCTCTTTGATAACAGCAAAGTGGGTGGAATCCGTACAGAGGCTGGATATCAATTGACATGAGTCCTCGGCATACGAAAATAGGGAATTTAATGTGATTATACCTGGTTTGTTGGCACAGCAACAGGTATTGCTTTCTCCAAGCATTCTGTTTCTCGGAATTTGAGGCTATTTGGGATTGGAAAGTGGCTTCACAGGCGGCAAACCGTTTGATCCACAGTTGTTCGGTCATTTTTAAACCAAGAAAACAAGTTAAAATCCTTTAATAAACTAAAATAAAGACAAAAACTTGCGGCTAAACAGAAATCAGCTGTTGTTTAGCCAAGATCCGTAACAGTCAGCTTCTTTATAGCCACGATCACTTCTATCGTTATCGATACACCATTAACCCTTATGCGAGCGAATATTATTCACCTACTTGATTTTAAACAAGAAAGGAAGCTACCTTCGGCCAGCCGAAGCTTATATACCCTTGCAGATAAAGTAATGCTCACTCGGTGCAGTTCCAGGGATTCCAGATTCAGCGTTTCTATTTTTGAATTTTGTTTTTAAAGAGTCAAGAATTAAAACGCCTACTTCCTACAAAGTAACAATGAATTTTCTTATATATCTTTGAATATTCCTATGGGAGCCTTAAGATATAGTGGTCCGATTCGGCTCGCTCCAACATATGTACTACCTGCAATAGAAAGAAGACTTTCGGGAAAGTTTCATCGCGATATCTTTAAAACTGAGAGACTAGTTCGCATAGAAACGGACAGACGGACAGACGGACCGACGGACAGACGGACAGACGGACATGGCTAGATCGACTCGTCTAGTGATGCTGATCAAGAATATATACACTTTATGTGGTCGGAAACGTCTCCTTCACTGCGTTGCAAACATCTGACTGAAATTATGATACCCTCTACAAGGGTATAAAAAATAAATCATCTTAAATTAGAAAAATATAGCATATCTGTTTGGAAAGCAAAACTGAATGCAATCGAGCCAATTAATTCATTTAAATATATCTTTTTTAATTAACTTTCTCTTTTATCTATCCATTTCGCAATCCGGACTTAATGAAATTCTGCGCAAATAATCAGCTTATACATGGCCATGTCCTTTACTTTGTAAAATGTAAAACTTCATTAAATTGTGGCAGCTATTAACACACCTTTATTTATTCCATTGACGAAATGTATGTTCATGAATGGGTCAAAGGATTCAAATGATTTCTTTGGTATGTTGAAGGTCAAACATTTAAATTCCATTAAAGAGAAACGGTAGAATATTTTTATAAGTACCAATAAAAAATAATAGTTCCTTTAAAATTGTTCGATAGTAGATTTAATTCAAGTGTCATCTTTGGGGTGGTATGGCAGTCAGCTTAGGTGCAGGAGAGATCCCAGATATCGCTATCGATAAGCAGCATGTTATCGAATTTGAAATTACACAAAACTAGCTGGTTAAATTATTTTATTTAAATTACTAAATATGAGCTTCATTTAGTTTCCTTTTTGTTAAGCATTACACTTTTTGTCGAATAAGAAGAGCTGAAATGCTCTCAAGACTTCCGAAACAAAATGTATCTCAATTAATGTTCAATTGCTCTTAATTGGTCCGTTTCGATTTAATTAAAAAGTATTCCATTCGCTCGGATTGTGAGGCACCCTTGGATTCCATCATAAACAGAACTAGCAGCCAAGGCAGACGTCCTCAGATCTTATCGCCAAATCGGTCTGTATGCTCACGTTGGGCAAATATATACCTGCATATTGCTCATCGCCCCCATCTCAACTGCCAACTATACGAAAACACGTCCGGACACAGTCTCCGGTCGTTTGTGGCCCGCGGTTTGGGGTTCAACTGGTGGCGCATAGTGGGCTCCTTATCTCCGGACAAGGGCAAGATAACGCCGCCGATCCCATAAGCCATAAATACCCCGCAGCATCCATTAACGGATTCTCAGTTCAGTAGTCAGTGCAGCGGATTGCAGGTGTTTTCCCATTCGCCATTGGATTTTGGATTAAGGAGCTATTTTCGTCAAATCCTTTCAGCATGTGCCTACCGAAAAGGGTGGGTGGCCCGGCCATTCAGAGTATTGCCACGGCTTTAGGTAAGATTTAAAATTAATCATTTAAAATTGGGAAAATACAATACACTGCCAAATCATCAACAACTAAAATCATCAATCATGATTAATTTAATCACCTGAAATATTCTGTATTCTTTAAAGAAATACAATTTCTGTCTGTTTGTCTGTCTGTCTGTCTGTATGAACGCAAAGATCTCGGGAACTACAAAAGCTAGAAGGTTGAGATTTTCCACACATATTCCACGCCCCCTCTAACGCCCACAATCGCCCACTAACGATTTTATAATGTGTCTGGCGCTCACATCTTTAAAGATTTCCGAGAAGTATAAATGCAATTTTGTTGTGAATATTTATACCTATTAAAATGTAGAAGACATTTTTTAAATCGGATCATTCATTAAAAAGTTATGCGCAATCAAAAAAATGGTATATGTCCATCTCCCTCGTACTCCCTTTAGCCTTCTATTAACGAATTAGAAAATTAAATCAATTTATTCCTTTGCAGGCAATATTCTCTGTTTCAACTTTGGCCTGATGTTTGGCATTACTCCGGCCCACATGGCCCTTTATGAGTCGGAGGAGAAGACTCCGTTGAACGAGGCCACCGATCCGGCGGGAACTGCCTGGTTGACGGGATACCTCTTCCTCAGTGCCGCCGTTGGGGCCTTGATATCGGGTGTCCTTGCTCTAAAAATTGGCCCCAAGTCCGTGCTGCTCTGCGCTGGACTGCTACAAATTGTAAGTTTTTACCTTGCCTTTTTTGGAAAAAAAAGTAAAGGATAGGAAAAGTATATGTCAATGTCAGAACTGAGTTGGGAGGAAAAAAATTGCAAGCAAAGAATGCCTTAAACTTGTTCTCCTATATTTTTCGTTGGGCTATTAGGTTTTTTCTGGTCATATTCTTTGATTTCTTTTGCTCAACGGCTGGCAGGACTCAAAACAGCAAACAGAGGAGATACATTTAGGAATTTTGTTCTTTAAAGTGGAAAGTGAGGAATAACATGAAGGCTTCGTAATACTTAAATGTGAAACATTTTTCCCTTCCAGTCTGGCTGGGCCTGCATCCACTTTGGCTACGATATAGTTCACATCTACGCCTCCCGCCTTTTTGCGGGCGTGGCATCTGGAGCCGCCTTTGTTGCTCTGCCGATTTTCATTAATGAGATTGCCGAGTCTCGGGAAAAAGCAGCCAGGCTAACGTTTACCATCGAATTGTGGCGCACGCTGGGCATCCTGATGGGATTCGTCCTGGGCTTCTACCTGCCCTACGACCTGGTCAACATCGTCGGCTGTGCCGTGACCTTTGTGTTTACCATGACCTTTCCCTTTGTCCAGGAGAGTCCGCATTACTATCTGCGAAAGAATAATGTAGCCAGCTTGGAGAAATCGCTGCGTTGGTATCGCGGCATTCGGGATATTGACGATCGCGAGAAGCCGGAGTATCTCAGCGAATTGGGTGAGTTCCAGGCCGAGCTGAGGAGCAAGGACAAGAACGTGGGCTCCACTCCCATGTCCCATGGCTACATCATCCGGCTGACTTTCGTCAGCTTTCTACTGACCGTCTGCGCCAAGCTGAGCGGTGTTTTTGTGGAGCTAAACTACGCAGCCGATTTCCTCGGACGGACCGGCTATTCCACGGAAACCAATTATGTAATCCTGGCCAGCGCCCAGTGCATTGGAGCGCTCCTCGCCCGCCTCGTTGGTCCGCGGCTGCCGCGAAAGGTTAGTATCGGCTTGATTTAATTAAATGTAATTTTATAACTTTTAACAAGAAAGGAAGCTAGCTCAATTTTCACAATTTAATGCCCATTACAAATATTTTATTGAATATCAATTTAATATTAAAGTTGTTTTTCATTGTATGTACAAACAAAAAAATCTAGAAAACATTTTATATATAACAATGCATTTGTTTTGTATTCCAAACTTTTTTTTGCTTGTAAAGAACCAACATTTCCAACTTTTTAAAAGAACTTACATTTTTTTAACATTAACTCCGATTTTTTTCGGTATACAACTTATGCTGAATTAATTTCATTTCTTGCAGCTGCTGCTCTGCTTCTCGTCCCTATTTGCTGCAGCTGCAGTTATTGCATTGGCGTTATTCAAGATTTACGGTGGACTTTGGCTTCTGGGAAGCTGGGCGGATCGGTATTTGCCCATTATCCTGCTGGCCATACAGCTCGCTTTTGTGAGCTTCGGACTTTATCCCCTGGCGGCAGTCGTGAGCAGCGAGGTTTTGCCCACTAAGGTGAGTCGATTTTATCGTTGGAGGTGGATTAAAATTAAGACTTTTTCATTGAAAAAATATTATCAAAGTTTCTGAAAATATTTTTGTGTACCAATATTGCTTCGACAATTTAAGCAGTTTGTTTTTTTTTTAGTTTTAATTTAAAGTTATAATCTAAGTTTTATGTAAATTTATCGAAATACTATGAGTTTCAACTACATAAATATTTAACAAATTTAAGCTACGTACAGAAGAGCCTGAGTGGAAAGATTAATTATACGAGGGCATTTGAAAATTAATCCCGCTTTTAAATGTTCGGTAATCCTTTTGCAGCTCCACGACTTGCTGTACTCCCTGGCATCTGCTGTTTCCTGGCTGCTGCTCTTCGGCATGATTGAGGTGTGTGTAATGAAAACAAGCACGTGTGCAGTAAATTAATTAAAGGGATTTACTTGCAGGCATTTAATGCAGTTAAGGCCACAATCGCCCCCGGACTGGTTCTTTATCTGTGGGTCTTTGCCGGCGCCTCCATATTCGTGGGCCTTATTTCGCTGCCACTTTTGCCGGAAACACGCAATCGTCGGCCTTCGGCAGTGCAACGTGAGTTGGGTTATGTCGATGATGGCGGAGTGGCCAAAGGATCCGCGGTGACCAACGGACATATTGCCACCCACATCTGAGATGCTCGAGTATTGACTCCCATTAGCTTTACGTACGATATTAATAACGAATTTAGTTTAAGTTTTCCCTGGAGCCACTTAGAAAAGTATAAAACAAATTGAAATAAAATTAATGTGACATTTTTAAATGATATAATACTAAATTACGGATGGTATCCTGGAATTAAAGGGCTTATGATGCTTGCTTGATTTTTGACTATTGGAATTAATTATTTTTTTTTTTGATATATTAAATTTTTAAAGTGTTAAATAAAATGTAGTCAAAATTTCAGCATTTGTTATACGACCTTCAGGGATTTATTTCTAGCTCCGACTAACAAACTCTCAAAAGTATGCAATGAAATGTATACAGGTAAAATAGTTGACCACCGATTACTCATCCGGCTGGCAACGGCAAGATCCGGAATTGGATTCCACAATAGAGCAGCATGTCGCGCACGTCACTTGAGTTTTGGGTTCACAGCTTTATCTTCCACCCCGAATCTTGTTATTTGGCTACGGTTCTTATCGCTTTTACGGTCTGCAAAGAACCTTTCGTCATAAAACTTTACCCCAAGTGAATATTACTTGTGATAAAACTTACGGTAAGTGGTTCTTCAGAAGTCTGGAAAGATATTGTTATGAAATATCACCAGGCACTCTGTACACGTGTTAGTTTCTAAAAGACCTCCGAAATCTGCAGACAGGAAATGGCTATCAAGTAATTTGAGATGAACGCTTGTCTCACGTTAGCACTTTAGATTACATTATTTGTATGTAATCTAATCAAATGAAACTAGATAATCTAATATAATAAAGGTAATAGTAATCATTTTTAATAAAAGGTAACACGACGTTAAAATTCCCCTTAAGTATTGTTCTTTGAAGATTAATTGGTTTTATTATTGATAGATTTTTGTCTTTTTTAACGAGAAATCACTATACCTTAACGAGGGATTATAATGGCACCGCTGCCGCGAAATGCACCCAGTTTCTCATGTTCACGATCACTGGAACACGCATCACTTTCGCATGGTAAACAGTCCGATTAAGTTCATCCGACTGTTCTAAATAATCAAAATTTACGTGTTTACGGCTAAGAAGGCCCAGAGGGATTGCCAAAAATGGTAAATGCGCGACTGAGTTTGCGGTGAGTATCTTGACTGGGCAAATATTTGCCACGATTAGAGCGTACGGTTGATTTACAATATTGCCTCTCTTTACGGTAGGAAAATATACACCAGTTGTAAAGAGAAAGATACTCCTCTCATTGAACGCATATCAAATCAGGAAAAAACAAACAAAAGCCGTAAAAATAATTGTACACTATTATAATCGGCCGAGGGTAAGCAACAACAAATTTGCATTAACACCCCGGGCGGCAATAATTAACTATTTTCTGTGACAGTGGATTCGCTTCTGCTTCTGCTCTCATTTCGCCAGAGCATAATGAAGTAGTGATAACGGTCTATAATCTACGCCACTCGCGTTCTGCTCCCCAGTTGAACTAAGCTCGTTTACGATCTAATGCAATATATAAATATTATCATCCAGCCACTGGTTTCGCTTAGTTAAACGCCAGCACCTACGGACTTTTGACGGCCGGGTATCCGGAAAAAACATACCAACCAAAACGACGAGTCCTCGTCGGGCTATGAATAACGGAGAAATAGTATTTTTATTAAACTAGATTCGACACAATGAGCGCCGCCGGTGGTGACAAATACCAGTACTTAGCTGCCATAAGTGGTTAGTAAAAAGTTCAGAAGCACTACAAAAATGTCAGCGAATTTCCGGAAAGTTTTAAGCATATGTGTAAATGTACCAAACAAAGTGTAATAAATAATTGTGTAGTGCTCTTAAAAAGCGTGTAGTGAATTTCAGCTACAACAACTAAATCAAAACTCAAATAAGTATAGATTTAATTATAATTAATTTTCCATTTTCCTGCACAGTAAACATAATTTCAATTTCGTATGGCGCATTTTGTGGCTGGCCTTCGTCCAGTTTTCTGGAATTGGCAGCAGAGAATAGTCCTTTGGAGACTGGACCTCTGAGCCCCAAGGATCAGGGATGGGTGGCATCGAATATTTGTTTGGGCGGGCTGTTCGGAACCTTTTTGTTCACCTGGCTGGCGGATAAAATCGGCAGAAAATGGAGTCTCATGTGGATGGCATTGCCGAATTTGGTAATTATCTATGGAAAAATTCCAAAAAATATTCACTACAGTAATTAAAATTAAATGTAATTGTAGCTGGGTTGGGTAATTATACCCTTTGCCCGCAACCCAATGCATTTAATAATTGCTCGATTTATTGGCGGAGCTGCCGGCGGAGGATGTTTCACTGTAATACCCATCTACATTTCCGAACTTGCTTCAGACAAGTGGGTTTATATAGTTTATAAAGTGTATTTATTTGTTGAAATTAAACAAGTATTCCTGTTTTAGCATTCGCGGCACTTTGGGCGTCTTTCTGGTGCTCACTTGCAATTTTGGCGTCGTCTTGGCCTTCATCCTGGGCTACTACTTCAACTATGCCCAAGTGTCCTGGATCGTCTCCTCGCTGTCCTTCGTCTTTGTGGGCTGCTTTTGGTTCATGCCGGAGACACCGCAGTACTTGGCCAAAACAAATAAGGTCGAGGAGGCAGAGCACTCGCTGCGCTATTATCGCAACATCAAGTCAAATCCGGCCAAGGAACTGAGTGAGGAGCTGCAGCTGGAACTGCAGCAGCTGAAGACCACTGAGAAACCCGCTGGGGATGCCGATGATGACGATGCTGAAGCCACCGGAGTGACCTGGGCAGATTTTGGTGAGATATTGAGAAAAGTGATATAGTTTTATAGTTTTATGTCTTACAAGTTAGAAAAGGGTTCTTTAAAATTACACAGAAATTACACAGAGGGGCCTAAATATGATACAAATTTTATTTAAAATACTTGGGAACACTTAAAATGAAATACACAGAGAAGAACCGCCAGACTTGGATTGTTTCACGTGGCGTATACTTAATGTAAAATTATGCGAAAAAAAATGATTTAACTTAATAATAAATATAAATTTAAAATTAAAATTAAAGGGTTCGGACGGTAAACAAAAAACTAAATGAATTGAATGAACTAAAAGAAACATTTTTATATGAATTTTAATATTTATTTTAAATTTTAACGGTGCGTATACGAATTTTTTTGCAGACATTTTAAACAAATATAAAATATCTTTGACTCTAACTTATGATCCTTTTTATCTAATTTTCCTTTTCTATACATTTTTCTACCAGCCAAGGGCAAGACGCGCAAGGCTTTCCTGATTGGATTTGGACTGATTAGCTTCAATCAGCTGTGCGGATGCTTCGCTATGCTCAATTATACGGCTGTGATTTTCGAGCAGGCGGGATCGAGTCTGAAGCCCACGATAGCTGCCATCATAGTGGGTGGCATCCAGCTGGTGGGCACCTATCTGTCTACCCTTTTGGTAGATAAATTGGGTCGAAAGCTGCTGCTCCTGGTTTCGGCAGTGGGCATTGGACTTGGCCAGAGTGCCATGGGCATCTATAGCTACCTACAGGTGACCGGCTACCACGTGGCCTCGTTCAGCTGGGTTCCCATCGCCGGGTTCTCGTTTATGCTGCTTCTCGCAGCCGTCGGCCTGCTATCCTTGCCCTTCCTGGTGATATCGGAGATAATGCCCCAGAAGATAAGGAGCACGGCGATAATGCTGCTCATGTCGGTGCTCTGGCTGATTTCCACCTGCGTAATCAAGGTTAGATATATTCGAATATTCTGTAACATCTTCTTAATTAACAACTGAAATTCCCTTAAAATTCAGTTAATGCCCGTTTTCACCGCAACACTGGGAATGCACGGCACCGTCTTCATGTTCGCCAGCTTATCCTTCTCAGCAGCTGTTTTCATCGCCATCTTTGTGCCCGAAACAAAGGGCAAAACAGTTGAAGCCATCTTGGCTAGCCTTTAGCGTTAATAATTAATTTGTAAATCACTTGTTATTGTTTTGAATAAAATCTCAAAAAAAAAGAATGCACTTTCTGTTCGATTCGGAAAAGGTATGCAAAACTTGCACAATTGACATGATTGTTAAATTGAAAAATATAAAAAAGCACCTTCAACAATCGGTTGTCTATATGGCAACCTTGATCTTCCACAGCTGTTGCCATACAAAAGATTGTTCTAACAAGTTAAAATCGTTGATAAGATAAGATCGGTTATCTAGGCGAGATTTGTTCATGATTTTTTTAATGAGGATTGGTTGAATTATAATTATAATTGAATTATTTAATTTGGGGGAGGAAATATTCAGAAAGTGTATTTGTTCTGTATCGACCACTGGCTTAAATCAACCTTGTTGAACTATTTAAACTATAATACCCAACCCCTTATTGACATTACACATTTTTTCAGGTGAAAATTAGTGAATTGAAGAAGGGAATAAATGGCTTTGTGCTCTCACCCAGAAATCATTAGAATCGATTTATATTTCTGTTATTAGGTAAACTGCTAATTACTGCTAAACTAATTAATTTTATATAAAGCATATTAATAAAGCATTAAATCGTTTTATGGCGATTTTGGCCAAATAAACTACTCATGTGAGAAAAGGATAATTATCCAATTATAATTTACCAATTTGCATCAACAAACTTTCGTTTGAAAATCCCCCCGCAACGAAATCCTAGTACCGTTACTGGTTCAGATTAAATATTTAAAATGGATTAGATATTGAATGCTATGTAGTATACTTCTGGGATAAACCTAATTTGTTCTTGGCAAAATATTTGCCATCTCTCAAAGCGAAAGAGATCATCATTGACTCATTTTCTCCCTAGCATCTCACTAAAAAGCGGGTTGTGTCTCCACAAAATAATTATCAGCACACACCTCTTGTGAAATGAACTAGACACTCCTAATCTTTAAGTTTGAAATTAGAGTTTGCCACGTCGAGAGTAATCTTTATGGGCAAACAGACAGCAAACAAATGCCGATAGTGCGATAATAAAGTTTACAGTTTCCCCAGTGAGATTTAGCTACAAGTATTTTCCCGATTCCATAAGTAAGTGAGCTGCACTCTAAGGTAGCTGATACGTACGGAACAATGGCCAAGTTCTTTAAAAACTCCTTGCTGCGGGCACAAACACGCCACCAGCTATTGGCCACTTTGATTGGTAAGTCGATTGTTGGTTGGAATGAAAAATGCAATCTAAACATGTGGGTTTCGTGCAGTGAACATAATAACATTCGGGCATGGACTGGGAGTGGGTTGGCTCTCACCGACCCTGACCAAAATTCAAACGCCCGATTCGCCTTTGGGCTTTGAGGTTAACATCGATGAAATTTCATGGATGGGTTCCATGCTGGGATTGGGCAGTTTGTGCGGCAATCTGGTCATTGCCTTTCTATTGGAGAGAGCTGGCCGGAAATTCTGTATTTATTTGCTGGCAGTTCCCTATGCAGTGAGTTTGCTGTTTGGTTTGCAAAACATTGTTTTAAAGTGCTTAAACGTTTTCCTTTCAGTGCCTATGGATTTTAATCTACAGTGCCTCCAATATTTACTTTCTCTATGCAGCTCGATTTTTGTGCGGTTTTACTGGCGGCGCTGCCTACGTGGTATTGCCCATTTTCATCAGTGAAGTGGCCGACTCCAGGTGGGGTTTTCCGGGTTTTTTTTTTGAGGAAAAAAATATTTAATGTGTAATTTATTAACGGATCTACAGCATTCGAGGTGCCCTAACTTCCATGGTAATGCTGTCCGTTGACTTTGGGATACTGGCCGGCTTCATACTCAGCACCTATCTGTCCTATCATGTTGTGCCCTTTTTAGGCCTTATAGTTCCGGTGGCCTATTTTATTGCCAGCTTAATGCTACCCGAAACGGCGCCATATCTACTGAAGCGAAGCCAACTTGGAGCGGCCGAAAAATCCTTTAGCTATTACAAAAACGAAAAGGGAGGCTCAAGCAAGGCAGACTTTGATGAGCTGCGAACGAGTATTCTGGCTCAGCAGGCGAACAGTCCCGACGGCTTTAGCTACAAAGACTTGAGTAAGAGTAATATCTCACTTGGAATATCCTAAAACTCATTGGAAAATTTCTGTTTTTAGTTACCAAACCAGCCTTGAAAGGCTTTGCCTCGGCTACTGTTCTCTGCACTGGATTCCAGTTCAGTGGAGTGTTCAGTTTCATCAACTATATGTCAGATATCTTCGCCAAATCAGGCTCGGTCCTGGATCCCAACACATGCACCATTATTATAGGAATAGTTCAGATCGTTGGGGTCTACACCTGTACCATTTTGGTGGATATTGTGGGTCGACGACTTCTGATGTTGATCTCCTCCTTGGGCGTGGGAATCGGATGCATTGCCTTTGGCTGCTTCACATACTTTGCACAGTTCCATGATCTCGGCCATTTGAATTGGCTTCCCTTGGTGCTGATGATCTTCATCCTTTACCTGGCCAACGTGGGACTGATAGGCCTCTTCTTTTTGGTCATCGTGGAGGTCTATCCAGCCAAGGTGGGTAAAAGGGCATAACTTTTTTAGTTACTAAGCTACTTCCGTTTCAGATACGTTCGTTTGGCACTTCGGTGTCCATTATTTGGATGAGCATCCTGGTGTTCTGCACTCTGAAGTTGTTTCCCCTCATGTTGCACTTCTGGGGCATTTCCTGGACCATGTGGTTCTCGGCGACCTCCAGTTTGCTTACCTTCGTCTACTTCTTGTTCTTTTTGCCAGAGACAAAGGGAAAATCAATGGTTGAGGATTGAACCCGTTGTGTGTGTGCAAGGAACTGCAGTTTGATAAATTAAATAAAGTTAAACAAACATTAAAAAGATTTTTGTTTGCTTGCCTTCGCCAACTTCCTTTTTTATTTTTTCTGAAACTAAAGGAAAGTCTGTGATTGAAGGTAAACGACTTTCTGTCTTTGCTTTTCACTGATAGATAAGTTAAATAAATCAAAACCATACGTTGCGAAGTTATTCATTTAAAAAATATAAATATTAAACTTAGTTATTTATTGGCAAATATAAAATGGAATGTAAAATGCTCTTTATTTAATTAGTTTTCCTTTTACTTGCGTCAAGAATAAAAACAACAATAAATAAAATACAAGGTATTTTTATTAAAGACTCATTTTACAAGAAAATATGGGTGAATACATGTGTTTTGGTTGTGAAATTGTTGTGCTGAAAAGTATACTACACAAAATCCAAAAATGAAGAACCTCCCTCAGTTAAATTGTACGTTTGATCTCTAACTGAAGTTTAGATAAGTTTTAATTTTCTTCTTGGAAAAATAAATATTTGTTCCACACCACAAACTGTATTTACAGGTATCCGACCCTTAAAATACTGATTTCTAAAGTTATAAAAAGTTAAAGTAAAACTTTTTTCAGTTGGAAACGTAGCCATGGAAGTTGGCAAATTGTTTACCAGCTACTTTAAATTTTATTACTCTTTCAAACCGGCCACCTCTCAACGCTGTGAACTTCTGTTACCAGAAGTTTTCCGCCTTTGGCCTTATCTACTAAATAGCCGGTTGAGTCTGGACCAACATCGTAAATGTTACAGCTTAAGACCAGGCGAGACAGACAGACAGGCCCCTTTTTTGTGGTCTCATGGTCTCATGGTCTCAAAGTACGTAGCAAATAATTGTTTGCCTTGTGAAATTCCCGTTGGCCAAAAAAGCAATCTTGTCTAACTTAATCTATTTGCCGTGTAAAGCTTTCGCATCCTATCTTTACAAAGTAATTTGTGACGTTGCGTGTGCCAATTTGAAAGAAAATAAAGGAGGATATAGACAATGATCTCTAATATTGCGGATATAAACTTTATGAAGGGCTTCAGCTGCGAGCTTTTCTCGGCCTGCTCGGTTTTTAAACCACTCGCTATCGCATTTGCTGCGAACCTCCAGAGTGCGGCTGACATTCGGAAGGCTAAAATGGTTGCGATTTTCGAAAATTCTTTGTTGCGGCACAAAACACGTTACCAGCTTTTGGCCACGGTAATTGGTGAGTTGCCCCTTACTTTTCCCCTGAATTTCGTTTGCTCAATGCAAATCATATGCAGTGAACATCATAACCTTTGGCCATGGCGTCGGAGTGGGTTGGCTTTCGCCGACCCTGACCAAAATCCAAACACCCGACTCCCCATTGGATTTTGAAGTTAATCTCGCTGAGATTTCGTGGCTGGGCTCGATGCTGGGACTGGGCAGCCTGTGCGGAAATTTGACCATAGCTCTGCTAATTGAGAGGGCTGGCAGAAAGTTCTGCATCTACCTATTGGCCGGACCCTATGCGGTGAGTAATCCCTTTTTAATTGGTCGCAGAATTATCTCGATAACGGGGAGTACTTCCTGTTTTAGTGTATTTGGATTCTGATCTACTGCGCCTCCAATGTGTACTTCCTGTATGCAGCGCGATTTTTGTGCGGATTTACCGGAGGAGCGGGCTATGTGGTGGTTCCCATATTCATCAGCGAGATTGCCGACAGCAGGTGAGTTTATTTTTACAGCTAAAATTAGAAAATCCCATCTAAATTCACGGATTTACCGATTTGCAGCATTCGAGGAGCTCTCACTTCGATGGTGATGTTATCCGTCGATTTGGGCATACTGGCTGGCTATATACTCAGCACTTATCTGGCCTATCATGTCGTACCCTTTCTGGCCATAATCTTGCCCGTAGCCTACTTTATGGCCAATATAATGTTACCCGAGACGGCACCATATCTGCTAAAGAAGAGCCAGCTTTCGGCGGCCGAGAACTCGTTTAGATACTATAGAAATCAGCGGGATGCAATCTGCGAACAGACATCCAAGGTCAATTTCGAGGAGCTTCGTTCGGCCGTACTGGCTCAACAGAACAGAAATGCCACGCCCCTGAGCTACAGGGACCTCAGTGAGTAATAATATACCTATATATAAAATAAATAAATCTTATTATTACATATTACCTGTAGTTACCAAGCCCGCTCTCAAGGGATTTGCTGCTTCCATTGTCCTCAGTTTGGGCTACCAGTTCAGCGGCGTTTTCAGCTTCATCAACTATATGTCCGATATCTTCAAGGCCTCCGGTTCGATTGTGGATGTCAACACGGCCACCATTATCATAGGAATAGTTCAGATCGTTGGGGTCTACACCTCCACCATATTGGTGGATATCGTGGGTCGACGAGTTCTGATGCTGATCTCGACTTTGGGAGTGGGAATCGGATGTATTGCCTTTGGTTGCTTCACATACTTTGCCGAAAGCCATGATCTCACTGATTACAACTGGCTGCCTTTGGTGCTGATGATCTTCATCTGTTATGTGGCCAACATTGGACTGATCGGAATCTTTTTCCTGGTGCTGGTGGAACTCTTTCCAGTAAAGGTGGGTACTATTAATATTAAATTCTTATATAATGATTACTTATATTTTTCCTCTTTTTAATGCAGATTCGCTCCCTAGCCACTTCGCTTTCTGTGATTTTCTTAAGTGTCCTTGTCTTTGGCACCCTTAAACTATTTCCCCTGATGCTGCACTATTGGGGCATTTCGATAACCATGTGGTTCTCCGCCGCCTCTGGTCTACTCACTTTCCTGTACTTCTGGCTGTTTTTGCAGGAAACCAAAGGAAAGTCCATGATTGAAGACTAACATCCTTGCACCATTGAGGACTCAAGTAGCTTGGAGTTCTCTAAGAAATTAAAGAAAAATTAATACTGTAAAAATAATGTTATTTAATTTTAATAAAACATAAATCATTTTGGACAACTAAATAAATAAAGATAAAAAAAATGTATGTTATTGATGTTGTTTTTATTATTACTTCTGCATGCTTTTGCAGGAAACCAAAGGATAGTCCATGATTTAGATCTAACATCTTTGCACTAACGAGGGCTTAACCAGCTACATTTTCAAATGGGTTGCTAGGAAAAATAAAAATAAATTTAAACTATAAAACTAAATAACTGAAAATGCATTAAAATACAAATTATTCAAGACTATTAAAGGAACATATTGATAGACAAATGTGTCTTCAGATGTTGGATTTATTTATTTCTTTGTAAGAATTATTGTAAGAAGTATTTTAGTGAAAATACTTACTTCAAAAATTGTCCATGATTTCACCACAGCAATATCTTTGGTCGACTTGTTATTACACTTTGGTAATACCGATAAAAAAAAAGTAAAATTAAATGTTTTTTATTTTAATAACAGATTATTTGAGACATCGTTAAACAAACTTTAATTTAAAGCAGAACGTTGTAAATATTATAAATGAAATCCTCTTAACCACTGTGTAAATGATGCAGATGCTGTTTGCCGAATGAAATGTTTTTTTTTTATAATCACTCTGGTCCAGATGTTCTATTTGTCTGATGAAATAAAGAGGAGCATTGGGTAACTTATATGGATATTTTATGGATTATAAAACGTTGTAGGTTGTAAACTTGTAAATTTGTTTAATAAATCCTTCCATCGTCTTTCCTTACCGAAATACTTGTTTTTGCAAACAGGCTATAAAAAATGTAAATATATTCCAGGTGGCTTTTGGGGTTATCTGACTTAGATAGCCCCTTGGGAGGTATATAAGCGGAAGTAAAATCGCCAGTTGTTACTCTCTACCTCTAGAAATCAAATAGCGGAACTATGACGCTGAAAATGCACTTGTCCTCGCTCTTCGACAATCCCAATTGTCTGCTGAGTCGCAGGAATCGGTATCAATTCCTGGTAACCTTGCTTGGTAAGAAATACACTTCAATTCCGGTGGATGATTCCTCTCAAGAACTTTCTGATAACCAGTGAACATCGCCCCCTTTTGCCATGGCCTGGGCGTTGGATGGATGTCACCGGTGATGAGGGATCTACCCACCAGCCAATCGCCCCTCGACTTTCCCGTTCTGGTGGAGGACGTCTCATGGATAGGATCACTCGTGGGTATCGGAAGTATGTTGGGCAATATTCTGGCCGGCACCCTGATGAATCGCATTGGACGCAAGCTGGTCATGTTCGGTATTGCATTTCCCTATATGGTGAGTAAAAGTAGATAAAGTATATTTTAAACAATTTTGTTATGGGATTTCCTGTTTCACAGATGTTTTGGTGCATGATTTACTTTGTGCAGAGCGTGGAGTTCCTCTATGTGGGTCGCCTGTTGGCCGGAATGACAGGAGGCGCCTCCTATGTCGTCCTTCCGACGTTTCTCAGCGAAATTGCTGACGACAAGTGAGCGAACCAAGGGAAAATTGAGTGTTAGATATGTTAGAAATAATTGCTTTAAATTCCAAACAGGATTCGAGGACGTCTTGGCTCCATGATTCTGCTGACCGTAAACACTGGCGTCCTGACGGGCTACATAGTCTCCTCAAACTTTAACTACTTCTCAACACCCCCGTTTATTATAATCCTTCCATTGTGCTACTTTATTGGCAACTTCCTGTTTCCGGAGACGCCGCATCATCTGGTTCGCAGGGGAAAGTTCGCAGAAGCCGAAAAGTCCTTTAGGTTTTACAAAAATATCAAGAGAGATGACATCAAGGCGGAAAGTGAATTTGAGGACTTAAAGATACGAATAATCAAGGCGGAGAAAGATAAGGCTATTTCCTTTAATTACAGGGATTTCGGTGAGTACAAATTTTAGTAAAATTCTCTTAATGATATTTATAATTTTCCTATTTCCATAGTTACCAAGAACGCTTTCAGGGCCTATACCTCTGCGATAGTCCTGCTGATCGCCAATCAGTTTAGTGCCAGCTTCTGTGTGTCCTCCTATCTGTCGACCATCTTTGCAGCCTCCCACACCACCCTGAATCTGACCCTGTGCACCATTGTCATTGGATCCGTCCAGATAGTGGGCACCTATGTGACCACCTTGTTGTGCGACAAGTACGGTCGCAGGATCCTCATGTTGGTCTCGTCCTTGGGCTCTTCCGTTTGCCTGGCTGCCTTCGGCGGCTTCACGTACTTCGCCCAGGATTACGATCTATCTGCTGTGGGCTGGCTGCCTCTGGTGATATTGTCCTGCTACGTATGCCTCGTCAACATTGGCCTGGTGGGCTGTGTCTTCGTCCTGCTCCTGGAGCTGTTTCCAGCCAAGGTAAGTTTATCGATCAAGTACCCTCTATTAGAGCTGCAAACGATTATACTTTTACTCGATTCTTTTCGATTTGATTCTAAAAAAAATCGATTAATTCGATTTGAAATCGAAAACAACAAATTTTAAAAACCAAATGAATGTATTTAAAAAACAACTAATATAGATTAAGAATTTAATAGTTAATTAAGTATATTGCGTTAAAATATTTTCGTACAATCCAAAATGGAATCGATTTATCGATCATTCAAAAACATCGATTAAATCGATTTTAAAATCGAACTCTTAACAGTTATTTATCTTAACTTTTTTATTTGCAGATCCGCTCAGTTTGTGTCTCCACTTTTACAGTAATGCTCAGTGGCACCGTTTTTTTGGCCCTGAAAATCTTTCCCATTTGCGTAGCTGAGTGGGGCATCTCGGTGACCATGAGTTGCTGCAGTTTCAGTACGATTCTCTGTTTCTTCTACTTTTATTTCTTCCTAGAAGAAACCAAAGGCAAATCGCTATTAGAGGGTTAATTTGACTACTCAAAAGAGAGGGAGATACATCACATGGAGCTTCAAAACTGTCTGCCAAGTTGCGGAGATCAACCATAAGCCGAATGACTTGGCAAGTCATCTTAAAAAAGAAAACACAAAATATGTTTGGATTTCTCTTTAAAAAATTTGAGAATTTTGAAAACAAATGTATTGTAAACAAAAATAATAAAAAATATAGTGTGCGGTTTTATATATAGAAAGTCTTTTCAAGTGTAGCTCCCATATGGTAGACATCATAATAAAAGTCTTTGGCTTATCAGTCTTAGATAAACCGGTTTCGAAATATTTAAGGGGAAGTTCAGAGCGCAGATGAGTCGCATTCAGTCTGGAGAAAGCATCTCGATCATGACGTTGAAGTTGCGCCTAGCCTCGGTCTTTGACAATCCCAATTGCCTGCTGGGCCGCAGGAATCGGAATCAGTTTTTGGTTACCCTGCTGGGTAAGGAATACCATGGCATCCAGGTTGGATGGGGAGTCACTTTAGTGTCTCCTAATTCCCAGTGAACATAGCCACCTTCTCGCATGGATTGGGCGTGGGTTGGATGTCGCCGGTGATGAGGGATCTGCAAACTGAAGATTCGCCCCTCGATTTTCCCGTTCTCGTGGATGAGGTGTCCTGGATAGGATCCCTCGTGGGCATCGGCAGCGTGGTGGGCAATCTGCTGGCCGGGTTTCTTCAGGATCGCATTGGTCGCAAGCTGGTGCTGTTCTTTATAGCCCTGCCCTACACGGTGAGTCGGCATTTTAGTCGTCGAAACTATTTCACCATTACTTTAAATGGAATCTCCGATTCATCTAGATCTTCTGGTGCCTGGTGTACTTCGTCCAGAGCGTGGAGTTCCTCTACATCGGTCGACTGATGGCCGGAATGACCGGTGGCGCCTGTTACGTCGTCCTGCCGACCTTCATTAGCGAGATAGCCGACAGCAAGTGAGTGTTATTTTTTGTGGAGCGTGCTGATTAACTAACTGGCCATAAATCTTCTCAGCGTTCGCGGTCGCCTCGGGTCCATTATCTTACTATCGGTGAACACGGGCGTACTGGCGGGCTATATTGTTTCTTCAAGTGTGGAGTACTTTACATCTCCGCCGTTTATTATCGCCCTGCCCGTTTGTTATTTCATCTGTAATTTTCTGTTTCCTGAGACCCCACATCACCTAATTCGCAAGGGCAAATTCGAGGCGGCCAAAAGATCGTTTATGTTCTACAAGAACATCAGGAGAGATGATCTCAAGGCGGAGAGTGAGTTTGAGGAACTCAAGTATCTGCTGACCAAGGAGCAGACCGAGAAGGGAAAATCATTTGACTATAGGGATTTTAGTAAGTACACTTATCTATTTTTTTGGATTTACAAAGGTTTCGTATTAAATTTAAATATTTTTTGCTATATTATTTTTTTGATGAAAACATTGCGGTTCTTATTAAATTTAAATATGAAAATATTAATTTTAACTATTACAGTAAGATTAAACATTTTAAACTTCGATTTTAATATGAAATTCTTTACGTAGAATATTTAACATTGAATATAATATTTTTAAATCTTGCTATCTAATATCTTTTTTATTAAATATTAAAGTTTTTATTTAATTTAGATATGTCGGTAATACGAATCTTTAAAATCAATAAGTAAAACTTTATTTAGTCACTTAATAACCCCATCTCATTTCAGTTACCAAACCGGCATTCAAGGCCTATGCTTCGGCTGGTGTCCTGCTGATCTGCAATCAATTCAGTGCCAGTTTCTGTGTGACCACCTATCTATCCGACGTCTTCGCGGCATCGCACACCACTTTGAACCTGAGTATGTGCACCATCATCATCGGAGTCCTGCAGATCGTGGGCAACTATGTGACCACCCTGCTGTGCGATAAGTACGGCCGGAGGATCCTCATGCTGACCTCCACTTCGGGGGCTTCTGTTTGCCTGCTGGCCTTCGGTAGCTTCACCTACTTTGCGAATAGAACTGATCTCTCCGTGGTTGGATGGTTACCACTTCTGATCCTATCCTTTTTCGTACTATTCTGCAACATTGGCATGGTGGGATGCCTCTTTGTGGTTCTCGTGGAGCTTTTTCCAGCCAAGGTGGGTTAATATTTAGTAACTACAAAAACCTTCTTTCAATTCTCATATGAAATCTTTTTCCAGATACGATCTGTGGGCGTCTCCACCTTTGTGGTCATCCTGAGCAGCACCGTGTTCCTCACTTTGAAAATCTTCCCCATCTGCATGGCTGTTTGGGGCATCTCAGTGACCATGTGGTGCTGTAGTGGCATTACGTTCGCCGGCTTCCTCTACTTCCTCTTCTTTCTGGAGGAGACCAACGGCAAATCGCTACTGGAGGCTTAGATGTTGTTTACTCCAAAAGATAATGGTTTATCAAATACTGTCGCACCTGGGGCGATTAGCCTAAGCCAGTATGCTATCTTTACGGCCAGAGGATACTCGGAAAGTCGGATACTTAAGCCGATTCCCCGGTGAAAAGCCCTTTCAGTGATCAGCGATATCTGGCCAATGCAAGACTGAATAAAGATCGGTGTGGTGTTTTATTTAAATGCAAAGCGAATAAGTTGAATTTATAGGGTACAAAATGCTGAAGCAATTATTTCAAAGGCCGAATTGCCTGCTTAATCGCAGGAATCGCTACCAGCTGCTGACTACGCTGTTGAGTGAGTAATTGATTACCATCCGTTGTTGATATCCATGATTTCTAACGACATCGTGACAGTTAATGCCATATCCATTTCACATGGTATTGGCATCGGATGGCTTTCACCCACCCTGCGAAAACTGCAATCGGACTCGCCCGTGGGTTTTGAGGTGAAGTCCGAGTTCGAGATCTCATGGGTGGGCTCCATGTTGGGAATGGGCTCGGTGACGGGCAATATTCTCATAGGGTCCCTGCTCGGGCGCCTGGGCAGCAAAAGGTGTCTGCTATTCATTGCGATTCCCCACTTGGTAATTAGTCATCAATATTCAAATAATGGAGGTTAAATGTTTTGCTTATAATGCCTGTGCTTTTAGTGCCTGTGGATCCTGGTCTACTTTGCCCAGAGTGTAGAGTACCTGTACGTGGGAAGACTTTTGGCTGGCATCTGCGGCGGTGGCATGTACATTGTTCATCCCATTTTCCTCAGTGAAATAGCAGATGCCAAGTAAGTGGATAATTTATGGCTTGTCGCAGGGCGATTATCACTGCGACTTGTGTGTAAAAGATAAGACGGGACTTTAACGTCATTTAACGTAATAGTCACCTTATATGGTAAGAAACCATTACTCATATAATTTCACCTACCTTACCCACAGCATCCGAGGAACATTCTCCGCCATGGTTATGTTATCGGTCAATGTCGGCATTCTATTGGGCTATATAATGGGCACCCACTTGCCGTACTACTCGATTCCCTGGATAGTGCTGATATTGCCCCTGTGCTATCTCATTTCCGTGTTGCTGTTCATCAAGGAATCGCCCATGCATCTGATAAGAATTGGCAAATACTCGGCAGCTGAAAGATCATTCCGGTATTATAAGAACATCAAGGACTCGGATAATATTCACGATCAGAGCCGAGCTATGGAGGAGTTTGAGATCATGAAAATTGCACTAACTAAAGGGGATACGCAGCAGGATAACATCACTTTTAAGGACTTTTGTGAGTTAGCCAATATCTACACCCAAAAAAAAATCGATATGACATTATTTAAGATTAATTTTAATTTTATATGGGGTCAGATAAATTTAACCTGGTCGAAAAGAATATTTAATGTAAAAACGATATGGGTTTTGCATGACCTGAAATTTACATGGCCATATCGATTTTACAATCTCTAAGATTATTTTAATTTAATATGTGTAAAAACGATATGGGTTTTGCATGACCTGAAATTTACATGGCCATATCGGTTTTACATTATTTAGAATCAATTTTAATTTGATATGTGGCCAGTAAATTTAACCTGGTCGAAAAGAATATTATAGAATAATATAAAACGATATGGGTTTTGCATGACCTGAAATTTACATGGCCATATCGATTTTACGGTAACAGGTTTTTTTGTGTTTAGTGAGAAAAAATAGTTGTATAACTTTATAATGGTTATCTTTTTCAAAAGGTTCACGACCTGCTCTCAGGGCCTATGGTCCCGCTCTGGTCCTGCTGATTGCCAATCAGTTCAGCGGTCTCTTCACCATGGTCAACTACATGTCGGACATATTTGCCAAGTCGGGCAGCACAATGGATCCCGATACCTGTACCATCATAATTGGAGCTGTCCAGATTTTGGGCACCTATGTGACCACTTTGCTGTGCGACATCTGTGGCCGCAAACTGCTCATGTTGGTTTCCACGGGGGGCGTGGCCATCAGCCTGACAGCCTTTGGTTGCTTCACCAAATATGCGGAAAGTCATGACGTCAGCGAGTACAGCTGGATACCCCTGCTGCTCATGTCGATGGACATTTTCCTGGGGAACATCGGACTGGTGGGCTGCTTCTTCGTCAGCCTCGTGGAAATGTTTCCCGTGAAGGTATGTTCTTATTTGCCTTAAATCGAGAGCATTTCACCATTAATTTTATCTCACAGATACGTGCCAAGGCAGCCTCAATGGCAATTGTGGTTTGCAGCAGCTTCGTCTTCGTTATGCTAAACATTTTCCCAATTTGCATGAAACAATGGGGAATATCCGCAACTATGTGGTCGTGTGCAGGTGTCACAGCCTTCAGCTTCGTTTACTTTACGTATTACATGAAGGAAACGAAGGGCAAATCCATGCTGGATGACTAGACAGGAATGTTGGCAAGGGATTTCAATAAAATGAACGAATTTGATCCAGAAACTTGTTAAATTTGTGAGGTGGAAATTATCAAATGAACAGTTGGTTGTGCAATTAAATTCAAAAGTCATTTGACTACAATCAATAAAAACAAATAAGCTTAGCCAGCTTACATGTTCATGAATATTTAAGGGGATTTTAACACCAGAAGGTTTGCTTTGCGTAAATTGCATAAATATTTAAAGGCAGAGGTTCAGTTTACATTTGTATGTATATTTAAATAAGATTAATTACATATAATTAGATAATATAAACAAAATACAATTTATGCCATAAGCTCATACAATTTGATGCTGATCTTTTTCATTTTTAACTACATTATTGGCTTTACAATTCTTCGGACAAGCACAATTCACTGATGCTGTCCATTTAAAACTAATTAAAAAACTAGCATACTAAATCACAGTGTTTTTTCCCAAGCGAAAAAAATTTGCAATATTCTACAAAATTACTAGCGTTTTCATTATAAACATACGATATATGCATAGGTATAGGCATGTGTGCGGGGTGGTGTGGGAATAGGGCAGACCGCAGTAATTAATCCTTGGGGATTTTAAAACGTACATTAAAACAAATAGTTCCTCCATTTCTCCCTCTCACTTTCTCTTGTGTTTCAGCGGCAAAATAGCGAATAATAACATAAACGGCTAACAATTAAAATGCATAAAACAAAACAAAGATAAATGTTTACAAAACAGTTCTTCGCACTGCCCCATCGCAAACCACATCTAGACTATAATAGTGGGTGTAAGGTGTAAGGATAATTGTAGTTATACTCGTAGTAATAGCTAAACATAAATGGTGTGTGGCTTGAAAGTAAATTGAATCACAAAATTGGCGCAATTTAGCAAGTTTGTTCAGTTTGCAGCGGCTTTAGCAATGGTAGGCATTAACTAATTACGTATCACTGGTTCGATGTCTGCTCAGATAGATATGCATAGATAGATTGATAGATATCACGTCTTTTTGGGGCAGCGCAGGTAGCGCAGCACCGCGTACCCCAGGCACCGGAATACCAGGAAGAACATCATCAGGATCAGCGTATTCAGCCAGAGCGGTGATGTCGAGTTTTGGGCTTTGAGTATTTCCTCGTATGGAATGAATTCGGTTGACTGCTGTTTGCAAATCTCGTAGCTGCTGGGCGATCCACAGCTGCAAAAAAACATCCAATAATTAAGTAAAATTAATAATGTGAAAAAAATATTATCTTACATCTATATCTATCTTTTCTATCTTAATAACCGTAGATTGGTACTTTGCCAAATATATCCTTCGGTTAAAAATATTTTGTAAAATATAAAAATGTTTTAATATTTCATTACTCTTATCATATTGGGGTATTAAATAATAGTATAACTATAATCGTTTAAATATGCTATAAAAAATCCATTTTCGTTTTTAATATAGGTACTAAAATGGATTTTTTATAGCATATTCAATTTTTAATTAATTTTGTTTTAATAATAATTGGGCGATTATATCAAGACGAATTTTTATTAGGTTAGGTTCTTATATAGCTCACCCTATAGGCGCACCCTCGCGGAACTCGAGAATCTGCATGTTCTGGTAGGCGTAGTGGATCATGGAGGTGTACCGGATCCAGCTGAGGCCCTCCGGAATGCGTGAAGACAGATATCCGCCGAATAGCTGGGTGGCCAGCGTATAGAGGGCACTCAAGGTGATGCTCACGTTCATGTCCATGCAGCAGGCTCCGATAAAGAAGCCCACGCTCTGGGCCACAATCGTGTTGATCAGCAGGAAGATGAGCATCAGGAAGAAGAGCTTTAAGCTGGGAATATATTAAATATGAGTTATAAGATTCCATGCTTGAAGACAAGACAATACTCACCTAGTGCAGCCCAGCATGGGATAGCTGATCATGAGGTAGACTGTGGGCAAAGTGATCACCAAGGGCAGCTCGGCACACATTTTGGCCAGATAATAGGCTGACAATCTATAAGCCCCGGAGCGACGTTCCTTGCTCACCACCTCTCGCTCCGAGGGGACTGTAAACATAAATCAGTTAATAATATTAACACCCAAATAATATTCATAAAACCCACATGAATTGAGGGCCCCGAAGAGGGCGAAGAGCATCCAGTAGGTCTGCGAGAAGAACATCCAGCCCTGAAGGTCGTGCAGGAACTCCTCGGTTCGCGGCAGCTGGAACCAAATGGCGCCGGCCATCAGAGCCAGTCCGATGGTCTGGAACCAATTGAGCTTCGAGAGCATCCGCGGCTTGGCCTCCTTGAAATTGCGACTGGAGAGGACGCAGAACTGGGTGTGGAAGCTGGTGGGATAGGACAGCCAGTCGTCATCCGACGCATGTCCATGTGCTCCACTGCCACTGGCACTGTACGAATGGCAGTCGCTGGAGGCGCACGAACTGAAGTTGGACTGCGAGTCCGACTGGGCACACCACACCAGGTGCTGGGCCGCCTCCTCGTCATCCTCCCCCTGGCAGCCGCTGCTCGCGTGGTGGTGGTGCAGGTTCTCGTACTGATGGTGGTGATGATGGTGCCGGTTGGATCGCTGGTTATAGTAGTTATTTATTATATCGTCTATTAGGATGCTCTCCGGCTGCCGCTTGCCCTTCGCCACCGAATCGCCGGCCTGGTGGCTACTGGTGATGCAGTTGCGGTTCAGATAGTTCCAGTGCGACTCCTTCGCGGCTATGAAAAGCTTCTCGCGGATATCCGGATGCGATTTCAGTTGTTCCACTGAAGAAGAAAGGAAAAGGAATTAGACCCGGCAAATTTTACTTTATATATAACTAAAATATTTCCAAGAAATATTTAATATCAATATTTAATATCAAAATGGAATGCTTTACGAATGAATTATAATTAGACATATGATCTTTCACACACATTTCATTGGTTAACTTTTTTTCATAATATAATAATTATATATAAACCTAATTTAATTTCGGTTGTGTAAAAAAAATTTTAAAATTTTGTGTTTTGAAATTCTATTTAAAAAGACCGTTACTCAGTTAAAGGAAGTGCGAGGGAGATAGAGATATGTATGTAGCAAAGCGATTGCTTGCACTGCTTGAATTTCATTACTTGTCCATAAGTTATGAGTCATAACTTGTTAATGAATAGTCCAATTTAAAAAATTTCTTCTACTTCCCGACAAACACAAAATACCCCTTTACTCTACTTACACACAAAATCAGCGGGATTGTAGTGCGGCTTGATGGTGACTCCGATGTCCTCGAAATGGCGGTAGATATTGTGCACGTCCCCGAAGTAGGCGGTGCGTCCCTGGTGGAGCAGCAGGAGTTTGTCGAACATGTGGAACATCTGGGACGACGGCTGGTGCACGCTGATCACGATGGTCTTCTGCTCCAGCTGGGCATACCGTTTCAGGACCTTCATCAGTGAGATGGCCGAGTGACTGTCCAGTCCAGAAGTGGGTTCCTATATAAAAAGGATTTTTTATAAATTTTTAAATACTGCAGAAGCATATTCACTTACATCCAGAAGCATGAGCAGCGGATTGGTGAGCAGTTCGCAGGCTATATTCGCCCGTTTCTTCTCGCCACCGGATAGTCCCCGGTTGAGGTAGTCCCCGAACTTGGTCTGCTGGCAACAACCCAGTTCCAGGGCCTCCAGAATATGATCCACCTGGCGCATCTTCTCCGCCCGCGGCATCGATTCCGGCAAACGCAGGAGGGCCGTATAGACCACCGTTTCGCGGAGCGTCAGTTGGGGGAAGAAGATCTCCTCCTGCAGGACATAGCCGATCCTTCGGCGCCACTTCTTGGACAGGGGCTCACGGTTGAGGAAGACACTGCCGCCATCGATATGCCTTTGGCCACTGAGGCAGTCCAGCAGAGTGGTCTTCCCACTGCCCGAAGGACCCATGATGGCCAGCACCTCGCAGGGACTGTATTACAAAGAGGAGGGCTGGATTATTGGTTAAGGGATTTGGTTAATGCTGCCCTGCTGCCAACTTTGATATTTGCTTTACAAATTCCCAAATATAAATGTAATATTTAAGTGCACTTTACAATTCTAATCCAGCATTTAGCAGCAACGTGTAAAAGATAAATGCTTTTACAAATACTGCAGCTGCCAGCTCATTCAATACAATGACAATCCATTAGTAAACAACTAATTAATTAAGTATTGCTCCTAGGTTGCCATGGTTTTAATTTAACTGAAAAGCCATTGTCTTGGCAGCATAGCATCACATTGCAATCAATGATTAATTTTAAGTGATTTCGCTTCGTTGATCTTGTTACCTGACAAATCCACTCACATCGGAAAGTATTTGGCGTTCGTTGTGCAAAACATTGAGGTTCTGAAAGGTCAACTGCAGACTGTGTTGCGCCTGATTTTGGGGCTGCTGATGTGGGTGGTGGCTGTTGCAAATGTTGATGCTGTGATGCTGCTTTTCCGGGCCAACCGGCGACTTATCAAAGTGATAGGATAAAGAGGCCGGAGAGTTGCTGCAAGAGACATAATTCGAGATAAATATGAGATAATCAAAATTGTATTTAACATTTCAAAGGAAGGGCTCAATTTCAGGCACTCGAACTAAAAGTCAGGTAAATGTCAATTACACATTTGGTTAAATTCCTCTTTTCCTGAAGCAAAATTGCTAGATATTCTCGACCTCATTTGGAGATTTACCCCACAGACTCCAATGTTTCCCTATCCTTATCATCAAAATGTTCATATTTTTTCGTTTGTATTATCATATAACGGAACGGCACAAACCTTTTGTTGATGTTCATGCAAAACAAAACAAAACAAAAGTCAATGTCCCCGCGGCGCAGGCAAAAGTAAAATCAGTGCGACAAAAGTCGGGGGATATGGCAATACAATACAATACAGCAATACAGTTACTCAGTCCCCGACTTGTTCCCACTGTCAACTGTTATCGGCGATATCACATGTGTGGCCGTCGCATTATCACTCACGCAAACACTCAAAACCCAAAAGGCACACGCACACTGGCCTTAAGAGAGACGAGATGTTCTCG